CCCGACAATTGACCCCCGACAATTGACCCCCCGACAATTGACCCCCGAAAATATAATTGAATACCCCTGACCCTGACCCTGACCCTGACCCTGACCCTGACCCTGACCCTGACCCTGACCCTGACCCTGACCCTGACCCAGGACCCCGACCCTGACCCTGACCCTGACCCTGACCCAGGACCCTGACCCAGGAACAGCTGTCCCTGACCCTAACCCCAACCCTAACCCTAACCCTAACCCTAACCCTAACCCTAACCCTAACCCTAACCCTAACCCTAACCCTAACCCTAACCCTAACCCTAACCCTAACCCTAACCCTAACCCTAACCCTAACCCTAACCCTAACCCTAACCCTAACCCTAACCCTAACCCTAACCCTAACCCTAACCCTAACCCTAACCCTAACCCTAACCCTAACCCTAACCCTAACCCTAACCCTAACCCTAACCCTAACCCTAACCCGATTAATTTACCCCAGTTTAATTACAATTGTCGGGGGTCAATTGTCGGGGGGTCAATTGTCGTACTAAGCCCTAGATTTCGCGACAATTGACCCCAGTGTAATTACATAGAGGGTCAATTGTCGGGGGGTCAATTGTTGGGGGTTAATTGTCGGGGGGTCAATTGTCGGGGGGTCAATTGTCGTACTAAACCCTAGGTTTCGCGACAATTGACCCCAGTGTAATTACATAGGGGGTCAATTGTCGGGGGGTTAATTGTCAGGGGGTCAATTGTCGGGGGGTCAATTGTCGTACTAAACCCTAGATTTCGTGACAATTGACCCCAGTGTAATTACATAGGGGGTCAATTGTCGGGGGGTCAATTGTCGGGGGGTCAATTGTCGGGGGGTCAATTTTCGGGGGGTCAATTGTCGCGGTACCCATTAACAGAGCTCAGGAAACTTAAGACAGCAAAAATAACAGAGCTCAGGGAACGTAAGATAGCAAAAATAACAGAGCTCAGGGAACGTAAGATAGCAACAATAACAGAGTTCAGGGAACGTAAGATAGCAAAAATAACAGAGTTCAGGGAACGTAAGATATCAACAATAACAGAGTTCAGGGAAAGTAAGATATCAACAATAACAGAGTTCAGGGAACGTAAGATAGCAACAATAACAGAGCTCAGGGAACGTAAGATAGCAAAAATAACAGAGCTCAGGGAACGTAAGATATCAACAATAACAGAGCTCAGGGAACGTAAGATAGCAAAAATAACAGAGTTCAGGGAACGTAAGATAGCAACAATAACAGAGTTCAGGGAACGTAAGATAGCAACAATAACAGAGCTCAGGGAACGTAAGAAATGAAAACGTCTCCTCGAGTTATTGTGTTTCAAACGTTTAATTTCAAATTTCAGATCAAATGTCTGGATTAAATGATAAAAGGGGTACTGAGGTAGAGGGACCTCACGTGTAACTTGATCTATTACTAGTTGGTAACTCTTTATACCTCAGCGCTTTTACCGTGCAAATTAGTGGCTCTTACTATTTAATTTGGCTGATACTATTCAATTAATTGTATTCCCTATTGAGACATACGTGGTTCTTCACAGAGCACCGTTCATTATGGAAAGGGACCCTTCCTTTATGATTATGTGGCTACTTGTTGGGGACCATTGGTTTATGGTTATGTAAAATGGCCTGGCTTCAGAGTTCAGAGCATTAACAAAGTAGATGAATTTGTATGTTTGCTGTTCAATAAACTGATATTAATGCCATAATGTCAATTGTCAGGTCACCCATATCGTTTATCCATGCTGCCCTATGATTAACCGACAAGTGTCTAGTATCTCCGTATGTATAGCACTGCAGCGTATATCGTATAATAAGGTAATAGAGAACGCTAACGGTTAAAGTGTAAAGGTCACCTAAATTATGACTGGAAAATATTATATATCTCGTGAATAAGCGATTAAGAGCGGATGCTGATTCACAAATCTGGTTAAACGAACATTGAACACCCCCTCCTCAACTTCCTAGACAGATGTCCATCTTTAAAGAAGATCAAGATATGAGTCAACTCTCCATAATTATTATCATTATTATAAGTGTGATTATAGTAGTACATTTATATATGGTCAATGTCAGATCTCTTCTTTATCTTATTTCTAGCAGCTATATACGAAGTTATATATAACTATATATTGTTTAACTTTAACCTACCACTTTTTCTCTCTTTCTATTAAATTATATATTTTTGATTTGTACGAAGGTGTCAGAGTAAACTACCTTAGAAGTGGGTTGCAATGAAATTGAAATATGTAAAATGTAAATGTAAAATGTAAATAGCTTATAACTTTATAAGTAAGTTGATTATCCTATGGATGACACGTGTCTTGCATTGTTCTGTTAAATATTTAATATTCAACGTGAATATCGGATTAATAGACTATGAGTCTGTACTTTGTATTGTTATCAAGGGCCCCTTGAGCGTTAATTAAAATAAACGTTCAAGAGGTCATATACTTGGGACGTCCACCAAAATTTTAACGACCATTAAACGCAAGGGCCTCAAGCGTCCAATTAATGTCCCTTCAAATAAAGTCCGATAAGGTAAACTGTACTGTGGAAATGTTGAAAATAAATATCCAATTAGTAGTAGTCTATTAGTCTATTTAAGAGCAAAGTCGAATAAGCTTAGAGGAATAAGGAGATACATGCCTTACATAGTAAGTGTTCCATTTTATTGATAAAATATCCGTCCAAATATAAACCATCGTATTGCAATAGAAAATTCAGTGATTAAGAATTTAAAAGAGAAAGGTCTTTGCTGATGACACAAAGCTTATAAACAAGATTGCTGAATTAGAAGCAAGGTTTTTGCTTCATATCAAGAAAACTTATTCAATGTCATCCAATGGGCCCTGGAAAATAACATGCAGCTTAGCAAAAGCAAGTTTGAAGTAATCAACTACAAGCTTAACAAAGGGAACTGCTCTTGAGGGAAGACTACAGCTACAGCTTGACAAACGGGGAAACTATCGAACCATCGCAAACAGTCAGCGACCTTGAAGTACTCCTTTCAAATGACTGCTCACACACCCCATAATCCACATCCATCAGATGCTGAACACTGCTAGGGAGATGTCATTGTGGGTCTTCAGTGTCTTCAGTGACAGATCACCCTTTTCAAAACAATGGTGAGAAGTATGTTAGAATACTGTTGCCCGGTCTGGAACCCTAGCAAGATCGCCGACATAAAACCAATTGAACGTGTTCAGATCATCATACGATTATTGGGATCGTGTTACGAAGCTGAACTTGCTGTCCTTGCAGAGACGGAGAGAGCGCTACATCCTGATCTACACATGGAAGATGGCAATCACCAAAAACTCACTCTTGGAATCTACAAAAAGATTTGGACCAAGAATGATTGGAGGACGTACTAGATACTGTTGTCCAGATTCCCTGAAGCAATCACTACCAACAGTCAAACTAACCTAAAGTAATCTAGAAAGATGAAGAACTATTTCGTATCCTAGCCAGATGTGTATAGTAGGGTGTATCTACAATAGAAAACCTGTCGTTCTAAATTCTCTGAGGTTACAGAACATGTGAACCAGTGCAAACGTCTGTCAACTCTAACTTGGACACTATACTGTGATATAAAACCATTCTCTCGCTATGTTTTATTCAAATATAACTCCGTAGACTGTAGTATCAGATTACTGCAGCGATGCGTTTAAAAACACAAATAAGACGACAGAATAAAAGGGGCCGCCGAAAAACTGCAACCAAGTTTTAGCGAAATTTAGGAATACGATCGGAAATGTTATAGACTTTTGAGAAGTGAGAGTATTTCTGTTACAAAAACTAAAATACAATTAACCAAACAACCTGCAACATATTTGAGTATAAAAACTATGCAATTTTAGCTTTTATCAATGATCAGATTCTCAAAATTAAACAAAGACTAGCGTTAGCTAAAAGAAATTGTGATTATATTATGACGAACTAAACTACCTCTTTAAATCTTAAAACGGTCCGAGCTGTAAGCTTCTGCCCGAAATTATGCGGTAATATCCAGTAAAATAGCTGCAACTGTCTACCACGTGACTTTAAATGGTACACTTAGTGTTACCGCGATGCGGTCATATATTAAGCTAATATTTCACGAGGGAACGAGATCATTGTGTACAAAATGGCTTCTGTACCTATTTAGTACAGTGCTGCATAGAATAAGACCATAATAGTCATTAATTATTTAATTGTATTGTTACCAGACTTAATGAGGGACAAGTATAATAATAATATTCAATTTAACTACAGCCGTCTTATAGCTTTAAAGATGCCGTCGTGGGAAAATATTTAAAAGCGCAAGTCTTGAAACAAGCCAACGACCAGCGATATTGAAGTGGTAGAATTATTGCCTATATTGAGGATAAGATCGCTCATAATTCCATAATCTACATCGATTTTTATACCTTATTTTTCTAACATAGTACTTAACAAATTGGAAGTAACTGCTGTATGATTATCCCACACTTAGAGTATGCTGAAGATGTTGAGGTTTGCAGCAGATGGTATAACTTATACCATAGCCATACTAATGTTTTCAGAAGCGATGTTAATTCGCACACATGGACCGATTCATAATATTCTACAGTCTGTCTCATATTTATAACATTGAAATAAACGACAAAAGTTCAATCGGAGCAATTATGTCCTGCTATGAATGGATTAGTTGGCTCTTATCATTCAGTTCGCGGAGGTGTTAAGGTTTGTGAGCACGAGATCCTCCTTGTGATAAGTAGTTTATCAGTGTTAAGTATCACCACATTAATTAAATCTTTAAGAGAAACTTATGACTGGTTAGGTTTCAATCACCAGAGCAAGCATTTTGTGGGCTCATATTACCGGATATTATGTGTTTGGTTATACTAATTTAATGTTTACAAATCCTGGAGAAGAGCCCTTAGTCCACCCATCGATTGATAACTAATTAATTACCAACATAATAAACCGATTAGTTCATAATTAACCAGCGCACTCTCTGCAGGTATGAGTGACACCTGGACAGGTCTGATACTAATGATACTGAGTCTGCTGATGCTGTGTCTCTGTCTAGCTGGCCTTGTTAAGACACTGCAGTCCATCCTGCTGGGTCCAGTAGCTGGGGCACTCAAGAAACACATTAACAGTGATCTTCCTTACCCTTTTAAGTGGCTTACTGGGTAAGTGACTGGATTATTGGGTTACAACTTGTTCAGTTGAACAAACGAACACTGAGCAATAACTTATTCCTTTACTTCAAGTACCTGAAATAACTAGTTCCTTTACTTCAAGTACCTGAAATAACTAGTTCCTTTACTTCAAGTACCTGAAATAACTGGTTCCTTTACTTCAAGTACATGAAATAAAGTAGTTCCTCTACTTCAGGTACTTGTTCATGGGGATAGGAGTGGTGTTCACCTTCCTGCTTCAGAGCAGCAGCGTGTTCACCTCCACTCTAACCCCCCTTGTAGGACTAGGTGTGATCAGTATTGACAGAATGTACCCGCTAACTCTAGGGAGCAACATTGGCACCACCACTACAGCCATGTTAGCGGCGCTGGCTTCAGATAGTGATGCTCGTACTACTACCATTCAGATCGCGGTTTGTTCGTCTTACATTATCAATTAAGGCATATAAATTGACTCAAATGTATTTCAGAGGCATTCTCTAGCCTGTTCTAAATGCCGCTAATAGTCAGTTACAAGTTATAAATTTAAGTTAAATAAACGGAACATCAAAGATCGATTTATCTCAGCTAATAGGTCACAATTTACTTGTAGGTTAATAACCTACCAAGACGAGCGCCGAGTTGGAACAAATATTTACCCGTTAACAATTTACGTCTGTGTGATATTGTCTGTAGATCAATAATATACGACCCTATTGATACAAGATATATAGATTGAAAGGGTTATTGAAATATGCCTCTATATGATCAATATATATTCACTTCAATATTAATAACCTACACATCAGATATGTAGTTTTCCTGACAGGAGTCTTGCTCAGGTGTGTCACCTTCTGTTTAACATCTTCGGAATCGTCCTCTTCTACCCAGTACCTTTCATGAGACGTATACCTATAGCTGGTGCTAAGATCCTCGGTAACACTACTGCTAAATACAGGTCCGTGTTATCCACTGTTTCCTTATGTCAAGACTCAAGAGTCGCATTTAAAATTAATTTTCTGATTTTTTTAGTAGTCACTGATTCCATAGTTCGACGCATAAACATTTAAGTTTTAACACTTGTAGCCTTTTGTGAAATGTCCCATATGTAACCCTCACTCCCATCAGATGGTTTGCTATCGTGTACCTCCTAATTGTGTTATGTAACCCTCACTCCCATCAGATGATTTGCTATCGTGTACCTCCTAATTGTGTTATGTAACCCTCACTCCCATCAGATGATTTGCTATCGTGTACCTCCTAATTGTGTTATGTAACCCTCACTCCCATCAGATGATTTGCTATCGTGTACCTCCTAATTGTGTTATGTAACCCTCACTCCCATCAGATGGTTTGATATCGTGTACCTCCTAATTGTGTTATGTAACCCTCACTCCCATCAGATGGTTTGCTATCGTGTACCTCCTAATTGTGTTATGTAACCCTCACTCCCATCAGATGGTTTGCTATCGTGTACCTCCTAATTGTGTTATGTAACCCTCACTCCCATCAGATGGTTTGATATCGTGTACCTCCTAATTGTGTTATGTAACCCTCACTCCCATCAGATGGTTTACTATCGTGTACCTCCTAATTGTGTTATGTAACCCTCACTCCCATCAGATGGTTTACTATCGTGTACCTCTTAATTGTGTTATGTAACCCTCACTCCCATCAGATGGTTTGCTATCGTGTACCTCCTAATTGTGTTATGTAACCCTCACTCCCATCAGATGGTTTGCTATCGTGTACCTCCTAATTGTGTTATGTAACCCTCACTCCCATCAGATGGTTTGCTATCGTGTACCTCCTAATTGTGTTATGTAACCCTCACTCCCATCAGATGGTTTGCTATCGTGTACCTCCTAATTGTGTTATTTAACCCTCACTCCCATCAGATGGTTTGATATCGTGTACCTCCTAATTGTGTTATGTAACCCTCACTCCCATCAGATGGTTTACTATCGTGTACCTCCTAATTGTGTTATGTAACCCTCACTCCCATCAGATGGTTTGCTATCGTGTACCTCCTAATTGTGTTATGTAACCCTCACTCCCATCAGATGGTTTGCTATCGTGTACCTCCTAATTGTGTTATGTAACCCTCACTCCCATCAGATGGTTTGCTATCGTGTACCTCCTAATTGTGTTATGTAACCCTCACTCCCATCAGATGGTTTGCTATCGTGTACCTCCTAATTGTGTTATGTAACCCTCACTCCCATCAGATGGTTTGCTATCGTGTACCTCCTAATTGTGTTATGTAACCCTCACTCCCATCAGATGGTTTGCTATCGTGTACCTCCTAATTGTGTTATGTAACCCTCACTCCCATCAGATGGTTTGCTATCGTGTACCTCCTAATTGTGTTATGTAACCCTCACTCCCATCAGATGGTTTGCTATCGTGTACCTCCTAATAGTGTTATGTAACCCTCACTCCCATCAGATGGTTTGCTATCGTGTACCTCCTAATAGTGTTATGTAACCCTCACTCCCATCAGATGGTTTGATATCGTGTACCTCCTAATTGTGTTATGTAACCCTCACTCCCATCAGATGGTTTGCTATCGTGTACCTCCTAATAGTGTTATGTAACCCTCACTCCCATCAGATGGTTTGATATCGTGTACCTCCTAATTGTGTTATGTAACCCTCACTCCCATCAGATGGTTTGCTATCGTGTACCTCCTAATAGTGTTATGTAACCCTCACTCCCATCAGATGGTTTGCTATCGTGTACCTCCTAATAGTGTTATGTAACCCTCACTCCCATCAGATGGTTTGCTATCGTGTACGTCCTAATTGTGTTATGTAACCCTCACTCCCATCAGATGGTTTGCTATCGTGTACCTCCTAATTGTGTTATTTAACCCTCACTCCCATCAGATGGTTTGCTATCGTGTACCTCCTAATTGTGTTATGTAACCCTCACTCCCATCAGATGGTTTGATATCGTGTACCTCCTAATTGTGTTATGTAACCCTCACTCCCATCAGATGGTTTGCTATCGTGTACCTCCTAATAGTGTTATGTAACCCTCACTCCCATCAGATGGTTTGCTATCGTGTACATCCTAATTGTGTTATTTAACCCTCACTCCCATCAGATGGTTTGATATCGTGTACCTCCTAATTGTGTTATGTAACCCTCACTCCCATCAGATGGTTTGCTATCGTGGACCTCCTAATTGTGTTATGTAACCCTCACTCCCATCAGATGGTTTTCTATCGTGTACCTCCTAATTGTGTTATGTAACCCTCACTCCCATCAGATGGTTTGCTATCGTGTACCTCCTAATTGTGTTATGTAACCCTCACTCCCATCAGATGGTTTGCTATCGTGTACCTCCTAATTGTGTTATGTAACCCTCACTCCCATCAGATGGTTTGCTATCGTGTACCTCCTAATTGTGCTATTTAACCCTCACTCCCATCAGATGGTTTGCTATCGTGTACCTCCTAATTGTGCTATTTAACCCTCACTCCCATCAGATGGTTTGATATCGTGTACCTCCTAATTGTGTTATGTAACCCTCACTCCCATCAGATGGTTTGCTATCGTGTACCTCCTAATTGTGTTATGTAACCCTCACTCCCATCAGATGGTTTGCTATCGTGTACCTCCTAATTGTGTTATGTAACCCTCACTCCCATCAGATGGTTTGCTATCGTGTACCTCCTAATTGTGTTATGTAACCCTCACTCCCATCAGATGGTTTGCTATCGTGTACCTCCTAATTGTGTTATGTAACCCTCACTCCCATCAGATGGTTTGCTATCGTGTACCTCCTAATTGTGTTATGTAACCCTCACTCCCATCAGATGGTTTGCTATCGTGTACCTCCTAATTGTGTTATGTAACCCTCACTCCCATCAGATGGTTTGCTATCGTGTACCTCCTAATTGTGTTATGTAACCCTCACTCCCATCAGATGGTTTGCTATCGTGTACCTCCTAATTGTGTTATGTAACCCTCACTCCCATCAGATGGTTTGCTATAGTGTACCTCCTAATTGTGTTATGTAACCCTCACTCCCATCAGATGGTTTGCTATCGTGTACCTCCTAATTGTGTTATGTAACCCTCACTCCCATCAGATGGTTTGCTATCGTGTACCTCCTAATTGTGTTATGTAACCCTCACTCCCATCAGATGGTTTGCTATCGTGTACCTCCTAATTGTGTTATGTAACCCTCACTCCCATCAGATGGTTTGCTATAGTGTACCTCCTAATTGTGTTATGTAACCCTCACTCCCATCAGATGGTTTGCTATCGTGTACCTCCTAATTGTGTTATGTAACCCTCACTCCCATCAGATGGTTTGCTATCGTGTACCTCCTAATTGTGTTATGTAACCCTCACTCCCATCAGATGGTTTGCTATCGTGTACCTCCTAATTGTGCTATTTAACCCTCACTCCCATCAGATGGTTTGCTATCGTGTACCTCCTAATTGTGCTATGTAACCCTCACTCCCATCAGATGGTTTGATATCGTGTACCTCCTAATTGTGTTATGTAACCCTCACTCCCATCAGATGGTTTGCTATCGTGTACCTCCTAATTGTGTTATGTAACCCTCACTCCCATCAGATGGTTTGCTATCGTGTACCTCCTAATTGTGTTATGTAACCCTCACTCCCATCAGATGGTTTGCTATCGTGTACCTCCTAATTGTGTTATGTAACCCTCACTCCCATCAGATGGTTTGCTATCGTGTACCTCCTAATTGTGTTATGTAACCCTCACTCCCATCAGATGGTTTGCTATCGTGTACCTCCTAATTGTGTTATGTAACCCTCACTCCCATCAGATGGTTTGCTATCGTGTACCTCCTAATTGTGTTATGTAACCCTCACTCCCATCAGATGGTTTGCTATCGTGTACCTCCTAATTGTGTTATGTAACCCTCACTCCCATCAGATGGTTTGCTATCGTGTACCTCCTAATTGTGTTATGTAACCCTCACTCCCATCAGATGGTTTGCTATCGTGTACCTCCTAATTGTGTTATGTAACCCTCACTCCCATCAGATGGTTTGCTATCGTGTACCTCCTAATTGTGTTATGTAACCCTCACTCCCATCAGATGGTTTGCTATCGTGTACCTCCTAATTGTGTTATGTAACCCTCACTCCCATCAGATGGTTTGCTATCGTGTACCTCCTAATTGTGTTATGTAACCCTCACTCCCATCAGATGGTTTGCTATCGTGTACCTCCTAATTGTGTTATGTAACCCTCACTCCCATCAGATGGTTTGCTATCGTGTACCTCCTAATTGTGTTATGTAACCCTCACTCCCATCAGATGGTTTGCTATCGTGTACCTCCTAATTGTGTTATGTAACCCTCACTCCCATCAGATGGTTTGCTATCGTGTACCTCCTAATTGTGTTATGTAACCCTCACTCCCATCAGATGGTTTGCTATCGTGTACCTCCTAATTGTGTTATGTAACCCTCACTCCCATCAGATGGTTTGCTATCGTGTACCTCCTAATTGTGTTATGTAACCCTCACTCCCATCAGATGGTTTGCTATAGTGTACCTCCTAATTGTGTTATGTAACCCTCACTCCCATCAGATGGTTTGCTATCGTGTACCTCCTAATTGTGTTATGTAACCCTCACTCCCATCAGATGGTTTGCTATCGTGTACCTCCTAATTGTGTTATGTAACCCTCACTCCCATCAGATGGTTTGCTATCGTGTACCTCCTAATTGTGTTATGTAACCCTCACTCCCATCAGATGGTTTGCTATCGTGTACCTCCTAATAGTGTTATGTAACCCTCACTCCCATCAGATGGTTTGCTATCGTGTACCTCCTAATAGTGTTATGTAACCCTCACTCCCATCAGATGGTTTGATATCGTGTACCTCCTAATTGTGTTATGTAACCCTCACTCCCATCAGATGGTTTGCTATCGTGTACCTCCTAATAGTGTTATGTAACCCTCACTCCCATCAGATGGTTTGCTATCGTGTACCTCCTAATAGTGTTATGTAACCCTCACTCCCATCAGATGGTTTGATATCGTGTACCTCCTAATTGTGTTATGTAACCCTCACTCCCATCAGATGGTTTGCTATCGTGTACCTCCTTATAGTGTTATGTAACCCTCACTCCCATCAGATGGTTTGCTATCGTGTACCTCCTAATAGTGTTATGTAACCCTCACTCCCATCAGATGGTTTGCTATCGTGTACCTCCTAATTGTGTTATGTAACCCTCACTCCCATCAGATGGTTTGCTATCGTGTACCTCCTAATTGTGTTATTTAACCGTCACTCCCATCAGATGGTTTGCTATCGTGTACCTCCTAATTGTGTTCCTTCTCATCCCCACCCTACTACTAGGCTTCTCCCTAATTAGCAACATTGTCTTCTACACTTTTATTGGAATAGTGCTTCTACTCATACTATCAGTTATATCTATAACTTTGATGCAGAAATACGCTAAAGACAGGTGAACTTTGAGAGCATATTATTTGATTTATGGGTACTGTATAGTGTATACTGTATAGTGTATACACTATACAGATAATGATATGAAGCTTAAACTTATTAATCCTGGTTATAAATCAAATAAAACAATTAATAAATATTTAATGATTCTATTTGTTTTTTTCTATCAGAATTCATTCACTTTAAAGTTCACATTATTTTCAGATTACCCTTGAAACTACAAACTTGGGATTTCCTTCCCGAACCTCTCCACTCACTGAAACCCTACGACCGCCTCATAACCTCGTTATTCTCAAACTGCACGTGCTGTAAATGCGGCACGCAGCCCCTTGATGACCTGACTGTGTCCTATGGGTACAAGTGAGCGGACCCCTGCAGCCCAAGAAGGGTCGTTGAAAGCATATGGAAATCATAACGATAATGAACTGAGATCAGCTTGAAGTTGAGAGTTTAGGTCGGGATAATCAACAGACTTATGCTGGGAAACAAACAGACATCTGGTTCAGCATAAAATCTAAAACTAAGAGTAGCCGGGGCAAGTCGGGAGGTGAACTATTGGATGTCAGACTAGCCTAGTAAATAGGTTGTACCATTAAGAAATTTATATAAGGGATCTCGATTGCATCCGCCGGGCTCCAAATCACACAATGAAGATCCCCTTTCCAATTAACATCCCCTTCCCAAATGTATAACTATTTTAATTTCTAGTTCAACACTGAAAATTAGCAATATTTTATTTTTACCAGTGATCCTACAGGTACAAATGTAATCCTGGCCATACGGTCTGTTCTCCAATCTCCAGCCCTCATCTCACGTCAACAACAAATTAAATAATTACAGTAGATCTGCTTCCAGATTTGTCCCATTTTGGTGATCTTTATTGCCAGTGCTTTCTGTGGAATTTTAGTTTCTACTATTAAATCAGTAAGTCAACTATAGATGGTAAATGATACGATGGAGGTGCTGGAAGTTTGATTTGGGTCGGAGGAAGCTCACAGCAGAAAGTTTAACAAAACGAAAAGTTGGATTTTCAAAAGTCTGTCCCATTTTCAGATATAATATGAAACTTTCTGAACACACATTTGACAGATTTTGCCCAGAAACCAATTAGTCACTTAATTGATGATGGTATGAAACCAAATTGTAGCAGTAGCACTGGAAGTCAAAATCTGGAAAATCATACTCTCCGATCCCATACTCTGTCCCATTTTCAGTTTTTGAAGCTGAAATTTTACAGTTTTGACCGAATTTCTGACCCGCAACCATTTAGTCAGTCAGGATTTTCAAAAGTCTGTCCCATTTTCAGATATGAAAATTTCTGAACACAAATTTGACAGATTGGATGACATTTTTGCCCAGAAATCAATTAGTCAGTTAATTGATGATGGTATGAAACCAAATTGGGGTACTGGAAGTCAAAATCTCAAAACAAATTGGAAAATCATATTGTCCCAATCTCTGTCCCATTTTCAGTTTTTGAAGCTGAAATTTTACAGTTTTGACCGAATTTCTAACCCGCAACCAATTAGTCAGTCAACTATAGATGGCAAATGACACGATTGAGGTGCCGGAAGTTTAATTTCGGTCGGAGGAAGCCCACAGCAGAAAGCTTAACAAATCGAAAAGTCGTATTTTCAAAATTCTGTCCCATTTTTAAAATTAAGAAATTTTCTGAACACAAATTTGACAGATTGGATGAAAGTTTTGTCGAGAAACCAATTAGTTAGTTAATTGATGATGGTATGAAATCAAATTAAGGTACTGGGAGTCAAAATCCCGAATAAAATTGCAAAATAATTTTGTCCCAATCTCTGTCCCATTTTCAGTTTTTGAAGATAGATTTTCCAGGACCGACATTTTACACTTTCGACTGATTGTTTCACCCGCAACCAATTAGTAAGTCAACTATATGTGGCATATGACACGATTGAGGTGCTGGAAGTTAATTTCTACAAGGGGCCATCTACTTAGGACGTCCGGCAAATACGGGAAATAGGGAGGGGTGGTTTCTGAAAATCCGGAATTTTTGGCAGAATTAACAAAAAAGTCTCACTTATTTCAACTCTTTGAATTCTATTTCAACTCTTTGAATTTTATAAACAATGAATTTGAGTTGGTTTTATTTGTACTATAAAAAGTAGCTGGAAATCCGGACGTCCGGGGGAGAGGGGTGGTTTTGAAAATTCGGACACACCCGGACAGGGGGAGGGGGTTGGTCTGGAAATCTGCGATTTTGGCGGACGTCCTAAGTAGATGGCCCCCAAGTGTTTTTAATATTTCATTTCCGCGTAGTATAGGGAAAAGTTTGTGAGAAATAAAACTGTTGTTTCTTATCAAAAATATAACTTACAAAATGATTCATCACCAAATAATAAGTAATTATTTCATTTTCATATTCACATCCATATGGTTATTAATGTACGTTAAACTTAAAGTAAGGGAACTTCCGTTATTAACCAAATAAAACTCAAAGTAAAATACTTAACATCCTCCAAAATGAAATTCTTTTGAAGAATAGTACTCCAACTCGCCAAATCAGTATAATTATAAATAGCGTAAAAATTGACAGCAATATGGCTACGGTACACTATAGACCGTAACACACCACCTAATTCTATCTTTCTAAGAGCCTTTTTTGAGTTGCAGAACTCTTATAAGGTGCATTTGAACATAAAAATATCAAAAAGTTCATCAACGTAACCATGGTAACCATGGAAAAGGTGCTAAACATGTCCCCAATATGCAATGCAGTGTGCACAGTGGTAACGGTGACAAATGTTGAGTTTTCAAAGTGGTTACCATGGCAACTGCAAAGTGCGCGAGGAGCCATGGCAACTGTACCGTGTGCTATGTTAGCCGTAGCAACTTTAAGGTTTGCAAAGTTGTTACCAATACCATGTCAAGTGCGCGTGCGATAATAGCCATAGCAACCATGAAGTATGCACTGGTAACCATAGCAACCATGAAGTATGCAGTGGTAACCATAGCAACTGTACAGTGTGCACTGGTTACCATAGCAACTGTACAGTGTGCACTGGTTACCATAGCAACTGTACAGTGTGCACTGGTAACGATGGCATAGATCTTGAGGGACATGTTTAGTACGGTCATGATTAAAATATGTGTAGTTATATTTAAAAAGGTGACTCGAAAATAAGCGGCTCACCTTAACGTTATTGTTTAAAGATTTCTCGATAGCAATAAACTTCATATATAAAGATGTAAAACCCACTAAAAGCGCGTACCGGAAACAAGAAAGTAGCTACTATTTCTACAAAAACAGAGTAGCCACGGTGGTAACCATGGAAACAATCATGGTACACAGAGCACGAGTTCAAAACCCCACAACAACCTTCACGTAACCGACCAACAGAGATTTAAATTTTAAAGGGAAGAATTAATGTTTACCTACACTCCAATTGTTAACACTCCTAGCTATTCCTCCCACTACTGGCCACTAAACTATCAGCCACTAAGTTACTTTAGTGTACTTACAGACAATTCTTAACGCTAACATTTTTAGGGACTATCAAGGTAACCAGCAATGCTCTGAGGTAGGATTGAGCAAACTAACTATCTATTCGATCTCTGATAGGTCGTCATACAGACTTACACAATCTCCGATTTGTAAAGGCAATTACGAAATGACCAGCTATACATTTTCAAATATCAACGGCTGGTTCACATAACACATCAGCACTCTTGGCCATCTTAGACCCCATTTTCAGCACTTTTGTACAAAACTACCCTCTCTCAGGATGTGCTCCTTTTTTTAATCTGGTATTTTGTAAGTGTAACTTTAATCGTGTAGAACTCACGTGAGTAACTTACTTATTTTCATGATCACTTTCAATCAACACTTTTCAGATACCCCTCATTTTCAGATACCCCTCATTTTCAGATACCCCTCACGGCTCGGCTTTGCCTCGATATTTTTACAATTCCTTCTTTCACCTACACAGCTTGAAACTGACCATAAATTAACATCATTCAAGTTGTATCATTATATACTATCCTTTAGGAAACACATAAATTCTCTTAAATTCATTAATAATATATTATACAATTTGAAAAACAGCTAGTCCATGTCGAAGAGGTTAAATGCGACCGTACAACCCCCACTATTTTCTATTGTCATATTCTTAGTTGGTAACCATGGTAACACATGCCCAGTACAGCAACTAACTATAAGAAGTAATTACATAAAGTGCTTGGTTTTAAACGATAAATAATAAATATATTTATGAAGGAGCAGTAGTTTGCCAGTAATAAATATATTTAAGTTTTAGCTGACAACTTTCTCGTTGATAATGGCGGGGACGTCAGCGCTGCAAATAATTAACTATATGTATGATCGTTATCAGTCATTTACATAATTAATTACATGATAAGTAATGATTAATTACATCTACAACGTAACCATGGTAACAACGCTCAACAACACATGCTGACGATATCTGAGTTCAGCAGATTTGCGGCTCATTTCACAACCTCGTATCTAAGACAAGTGTAACCATGGCAACTAACACCTCACAAGATAGCCTTGGCAACTAACACCTCATAAAGGGTTGCGGGACAGCTTCCCTATCACGCGTATTAGAGCGGCGTTCTCGTCTCTCAGGCGCTGGTTATCGCTGTTAACTTGCTGCAGGCGCTGAAATAAAACGTAACGTTACTAAGTTTTCAACATTGGGGGATTTATCGAAATACCTGCAGGTTTTCAAGAAATTGTTAATTATTTTGCTGTTTTAGCAATCTTAGATTACCATGGTAACAGAAGTACTGTAATAGTTTCGATTGCAAAGCAATCTGTACTCCTGTATTTCTCTGTAGATTATAGCTTACTCGCAATGGGGTCACATTAACATTATATACTATTATAATTATACGAGTGCCTGAATATTAAGTAATGTGTTATTACGTAATACAGCAATCTATTTAGAGTTTCAGCTCAGGGTTCATTGTGATCAGAGTATTTTTAATTAGTATACTTTGTACTTGAATTTCTACAACGCATCCTATTTATAAAGTTTATTTATGTGATGATATTATTTTTGATATGAATTGATAGTTGCACAATTACAATTTCGTTTAAATATGTACTATATGTATAATATCTTTTATTTAACCACTTAAACTGATAAAAATCACAAACAGTATCTTTCTAGATTAGCAGGGACTATTCCTCACAGTTTTACGATTGATCAATGAGAAACAACATGTCTAGTGTCTACTGGAACACGAACTGGTAGAATCTAAACACGAACCATAACATAAATTAACATTTGCTCCGAGAGTAACTTCTTTCACAACGTTTAGGAGTAATTCCAAACACGAAATTCACTCAAGGACTCACTTCTACCCATTTCAAGAAGGTCTAAGGGGCTCCCAATGTTTTAATCGTCGGAGCATTATATCTTTTACCTAATTTTAATAACTTTTAATTTAATTACACTGGACCATTTGAATAAGATAGGGGTATTGCGGATGGTTTGCGATCCCAACAAATTGTTCCCTAACAGTACATCCCATGACAAACACAAAACAATGATTTGAAAACAAAACATTTTCTTACTCTTAAATCCTCCTCGAGGTCCGCTATTTTCTTCTTCATCGTCTCGTTTTCCTTTTCAAGAGAAGTAATCTTCACTTCCCGTTTCCTCAAGTCTTCCTGGTTTCTAGTGAGCGCCTCAGCACTTTCATTGTATCTCTTCCTTTCCAATTCTAATTCCTGGAAAATGGTGAATGGTAAAGAACACCGGTGTGATAATATACGAATAACATTCCATGGTAAGAATCCCCCGATTGTTAGGCGTTGTGTCTTGTCCTGTCGAGGGTACGCCAGCAGCCCCCCTCCCCCTCTCTCCCAGGACTATCTCTTTTCTTCTACTCTGGTCCTTTCAGCCAGGCAGCATTCAGGTTATTACTCTTGACAAGACTATACGTATTTCAATTGACAGTAATGTCAACACAGCTTTATTCATTTAACGTAATGTAAAGTGTAAACTGTCTGACAAGGTCACACAAGCCTCCCAAGAGAGAGAGAGAGAGAGCTACGTAGCAGAACCCTGGTAACCCTGGTAGCCATGGGTCTCTGATAATTTGTGGAGGTGCTATTTTTATCAAGTCTACTTGCCTTCATTCTTGAAAACTAGCCTGCGGAACCAAGGCAAGTTCTGGACCAGCCGCTAATTATTTTCCATTGGCAAGCCAGAAAATATCATGTGATGGCTCCAATCTTCCTCTTTGAGATGACACATTTGACAACAGTATGACAGCCCGGTTTACAAGCTCAATATCTCTTAACGCTCAAATCGCTTGAGAAACTTCACTATGGGATATAGACTCCATATAGTTCAGAGTGTTATCAGTGTTCTCATAAGTCACATATGTCAGCATTAGTTTAAAGTGAAAAAGGCTACAGCTCATTTTGCAGATTAATCACATCTTAACTCTCAAGATAAATGATATGTTGAGGCTTCATGTACTTAGCATCCCCTTAATTTCTACAAGGAGAGTTTCTGACTGTGTCTTAGCCACAAGTTCTCTAATAATTGTACATTCCTCCTTTATTTTCAATTAGAACTCCGGTACGTTATATCTCCGACCGGTAGCGCTAACTTTCAACAAATTTAACATTAATTTTTAACAAGCTGACTCAATCCCTCAAATTTTTCCAGGAGGGGGGGTCATGAGTATTTTTGAGAATTTTTGAATCTGAGAATTTGATCATTTTCGCCGGGAATACTAAAAAAATTTCTCAAAAATTATTTTTGAATCTGAGAAAATTCTCAAAAATTTATTTTTGAATCTGAGAAAATTCTCAAAAATTTTCCACTCAAAAATAGTAATTATATACCAAATCATTCTTCATATCAGTGTTCAAAATAGTCAAAAGCAATTTTCGAGAATGAGTTTTTCGCCTGTCCTGGAAAATTTTATCAACAATACTCAATAATAATTTTTGAGAATGAGAATTTGGCAATTGCAGCAGGGTAAAACAGTTCAAATATTTTGAAGGGAGAATTATCTATTTATCGTTATTGTCCAATCGACAATTGCAACACCTATAACCACGTGTTCAGACTTTGAATAATCCACCCGGCCCCATCCTCAGTTTTAACGGATGCTTGCTCGATTTAAAGTCAGTTTGGGAGGGTGAGAATACAACATATTATTATTTTAGAGTTTTAACCTGAATTTCAGATTCACGTATGAGATAAAACTGGTCATGTCGCTGTATTTTGTGTGGTCTGGTGTAATGTTTGTCGGTTTTTCTGTCGTTACTGTTGTCGTCACCCAATTCTGTAAGTCTCCAATTTCTGCTCACCTACATTGCAACCGATGAGTTTTAAAACTCGTGCTAACGCTTTTAAATCATCAATCAATATCAATTGACGCATTTTCTTTATCGTTAACGATAGTCGTAACAATGATTTTATTTCCAACCAAGACCAGCCTGGCGAGTTGATGTAATACAATAACTGTAATGTTGGATGAACTGTAAGAATACCTTTGCTAAGTGGTCCTCCTTTTCCTTGTTGCCAGTAGCACTAGTCTCAGGAGCAGGCTGCTGTTCAGGTTGTTGTTTCTCAGGTGCTGCAGGCAAGTCATCCTTGCTGACGTGTTGCGTCGAGCGACGCTCGTCTCGCTTCCTACGTGCCACTTTTTTCCGCACTATTTCTGGTTTGTCGGATGCGTTGTCGTTGCTCACGGGCGATGGACTCTCATTTTCAGGACTCTTCTTAGTGCTGTCCCAAACCACTGCGCCGGAGTCTGATATTGAAACCGTGACTGGAACATGTCGTGGTTTTTTGTCGTCCCCAACTGGTGCTGTAGGGCCGTTAGGCAGGGTCGGCACAACCAACGTGGGGGGCACAAGTTGTTTTGGCGGTGCCTCTTCCGCCTTCTTTTCTGCCTTCTTTTCTGCCTTCTTTTCCACCTCTTTTGGAGGTGGTGCGGGAATATCATCCGCAGTAACCGCTTGAGTGGGACGTCTCTCTTCGCGCTTCCTACGAGACACAGCTTTCCTTACTACCTCAGGCTTATCAGAGGTACCTGAAACAGAAGGAGTTTCAAGATCTGTTAATTTACAGTAATCATACATATTCCTCCTGAACCTTGTAAACAGTGTAAAAATCCTAACATTTCATTTTTAATAAGAAAGTTTACTTACTGTCGTCTGTGTTGATCGTGGGGATTGACGGTCGTTTAGTAGGAATTTCTACTTCCAGCTTTTTCTGAAGATATTCAGAATAATACACATATTGCAAGGAATTCAGAAATCAATTAATGAAAAAAATCAATCAACTGGATTTAATCGACCCTTTTGAGTATTAAAAACTCACGGATGATGGAACGGTGATAGTAACGTCAGTAGCAGGAGCGCGCTTTCTGACTGGGGTAACGTCATTGACAGGTTCCTTGTCAGGTTTACGTTGCTGCCAAGCTGGGATGGCTGGACCTGGCTTGCTTTCCACTGCGGCTGCGGGCTCTACTAGTCTATTCCTTGGTTTTGCCACCTAAAAGTTTACAATTTTATTTATAACCGAACTGTGATCATCAGTTCATAGGACTTTTATTGCCAGAAAAAAAAAAACTCACCAGATGCATCATGGATTATATTTATGATGAGCAAATTAATTTGCCTCAGTCAATTTTGACATGAGTCTATCGCTTCTAGCTCAGAATATATAAATATTGGCAGAATGAGATTTCAAGGATATCTGATCTTTTGGAGCCCACAAGAGCAGACTACTTACAAAGAACGGTTTTGTGTATAAAGGGCTTTTGGCAGGGTCATTCGCAATTGGCATGTATGGTATGATTATCCAAAATCTTCAAATACAATCTCAACTTCAGAACCTAGGAGCTAACATGATATTCACACAAGTGCCTCCAAATTCATATTGGAATCGTTCAATCACAACGAAATTTATGGCCATTTTCCACCGGAATAATACTATGGAATGCTAGGAATGTAACATGGAATTTCAGTCGAAAAGAGACGAGGGTATCTGCATTCGCTTCTTAACTCGTCAAGACTATCTTTTTATCATGCTGACAGATGAAGCCATGGAGTGTTTTATGAAAAGACCACTAGTATGTGTCAGTCAGAAAACCGCAAGGGCTTTGGGGCAGTGCTATCTTAGTGAAAACACCATGTCAAAGATCGCGAACTTCATGACACATATTAACAAGCTATGACCGCCTGATTAAAACAAACAGATTAACATAACCACTAATTAATGTAAAAGAAAGTGATGTAATTAATAAAACTGGTTACTGAAATGTGGGCCTGAAAATGAATAAATTCATAATTTAGTAAACACTTGGGGCCCCCATACTTACATCATTGACCGGTTCCTCTTTCTTCTTGAGGGGTTCCTCAGTCGGGACAGTTTCTCAGGTCGATTCTCTTTGTTATTTTCCCTGGCCCTCCTGCTTCCCTTAACGATGGGCTGCACTTCCGATCTGTCCGGTAGCTGTGGCCGGATAAACTTCTCTACTCCGGGAACCATGGGTTTAGAGCGCGCGGGAATCCTGTCGTAATATTCTTTCAGCATGTCCAGCACGTCCTCGTCAGCTATGTCCAGTGGCGTCTCGGCCTGAAAAGATACCTTCGTTACACACCGCTGTGTGCTGAGTGAATCAACGTGTTTCCATATTAGCATATCAAGAGTTATTCAGCTGAATGTCACGTACGAAGGTATTGACGATGTGGATGTCGGCCCCGTTATCGATGAGAGCTTCTATTGCCTCAGGTTGAGCCCATCTAGCAGCAGCGTGTAGCGCCGTCCAACCGTCGTTGTCTTGTATATCCATACTAATTCCAGCTCGAGCTAGCACACTGAAGGGGCATTGTCTTAATTAGCAGAGTATTTTGATCCCAGTACCACGCTGGTGTCTGCCAATTTTTGTCACGTGATCTTGTAATCAAGAAGCGAACCAACTGCCGCGCACAACTTTCTCTACATACAAAGCAGGCGAAATCTCTGCTAGTACTTTAGCACAATTTGTGATTTTGTCCCGCGCGGGCAACGTGCGGTCCAAAATAAACCCTTAGCTGCGGCACACAATTGAGTCAGGCAATTAAAATGGGGTCAATTTGACTCACGTTATAACATCGGGGATACCCTTAGCTGCAGCACAGTGAAGTATCGTCGCACCTGCCGAAAATATACATAAAATCATCAACTTTCCAAGATGCAATTAATTTTGCAGTTCTTCGGTTGATCATGAATGATGTCCTGAAAAAGAAGAAAAAGAATAAATTTGATCAGAATAACAACTTACCATCAACAGTCACAATCTCCAGTTCTTTTATCCTACTATTGATAACCCTATCTGACGCGTCACGGAGAGCCCTTTCCTCTGCAGTTCGCACTTGGTCGATATCAATTGCTGTGGAATAGTCATTTTCAGCGCTCTTGAAGTATAATAATCTATACAAGATATAACAACAGTCTCTACACTTAACGTTGTGACGTATACATTGGCCCAAATCAACCTGAGAAAGAGCTCTCAACTGATGGTTCAATTTGTGTGGAGTTTTGAACCGAAATCTGTATCTAAATACATATTGAAAGGCTTTATTAAGATTACTTCTTCGTTAGTCTGGCCTAAATGTTCAGTATAAACAGTATAAGTGCTGTAGCAACGGATATAACATGTGAACTATGAATAATGAGTTCATATTACGTTATAGGTGGTAGTGGTGTAAGGTTACAATATTACGGTTATACACTGTTTTTTAAACAAAAGGAGAAATGCACATGAGGCCACATTTGAAGGTATTTAATAAACTATTCTACAGTTATTTCAACTAGTAACTGCTAGTTTTTACCTTTTTTTCGCATCCATGTGGCAAGCAATTGTCTCATGTCATCCTCTTCAGCTTTGTCGATAGGCAGGTGTCCTTCATTATCCACACATGCAATATCAGCCCCCGCTTCTAATAATAACCTGAACAATATGTTTATAAACTTTAGGGAAACTTATCAAATAACTCATTGTCACTAAAAGTAAAATCGTCCAGATAATATTGATACTTAACTACAGAAAGAGTTAAACATATTTCCAATATTTGGGAGGTATGCAGCATACGATATACTAATTCCTCGCTATTTTCCGTGTAATTTTAGCAGTGAGCAGTATGTTTGTTGGATAATGGATTAAGTATGAGAAATGAAAACATCTGAGGTTCAAGCTTCATGATGAAAAATTTATCAGATAAATTAATAATGTTCCAATTTTGGCAGACCTCTCAATAATTGAGATTTAAATGACCAGGATTTGGAACTATTAAAGAAATTAATTTTTTACTGAATTTTCTCTTATTAACTAATATCAACTTGTTATCAACTAATTAACTTATTAACTCATTAACTCTTGTGTAACTTGATATCTATGGGTCCTTTTTTGAAAAAGTACATTTTATTCTAGAGGAAATTGGTATTTTACAAATACTATTTGAGATACAGGGTGGGCCAAAAGTCAGTGGACATACGTTGGCCTTAATAGCTCAGTCACTGAGTGCCCAATTGAAATAATTCTTTCTGGTATGACTTACTGCCACCACTGGTTCGAGGAATTTGTCAAATCGAAAAATATTTGAGTTCATTTTTTTCAAATGAAGGTTCATTTTTGCATTTATTTTATAGTTTAGATAGTCGGATCGAGCTAAATTTTATTGAATTGTGTTTGGCCATTCGAATTACGTTTGTCCTGAAAAAAATTAGAACTGTAGCTTCTCAGATGACCGAGATATGAAGCATAACGAGTTTATTCATTACGTGTGATCAGGTGATTAGTATACCTATTCACGTGATTAGGTGACCCCACAACCACACCGTTAAACATTATGAGAATTGTTAAGGGTGCCCAATTAAGGTGTCGTGCCACGGTGTCACATAATCATCCAGTCAATTTTGTTAACGAGATACAGAAAATGCTTGATAACTTCGTCATTTCTAATCCGTTTTTCCTCATGCCCATTATATCCACAAAGTTGGCAAACCCACCAGATATCTGGGAGGAAATTTGGGAAGAATGAGGAAATTTTTGGCATCTGAGAGGAAATTTCTTGGTTAGCGACTGACAATTGCAGTCCGCAAAGAGCAGTTCAATCATTGGGTATCGAGAGGAAATTTTTCCTCTCTAAATGACTTAAAATTCGTGCCATCTTTAATTTTAATTTGTCCAATGTTTCGAATCCAAAATATTACCGAGTGTCTAATCAACTACTTTGAACCTTCTCTATTGATATCCTATTGGTCTATCATATAATCCAGTTAAAAATTTTCCGGATGCTGCGCCCCCGAGCCCCCTTAAAATATTACTAATAACCCAGTGTCTAATCAACTGTTTTGAACCTTCTGTATTGATATCCTATTGGTTTAGCATATAATCTAGTTAAAATTTTTCGGGGGCTGCGCCCCCGAGCCCCTGCCGCAGTAGCCTCGGAGCCCATCCCTTCTAAAAATCCTGCGCACGCCCCTGTTGGAAAAGTAACTTAGCCGCTGCGAGCGAAGCGAGCGGGCCACAGCGAGCGAAGCGAGTGGGCCACAGAAGGGTCTGAAAATGGGTTTGGGAGGAAATTTTTAATTATGTGAATATGGGGCCTCATGTTTTCAGATAATATGCAACATTTAATAATCTACCGTCTCCACTGACTTTTGGCCCACCCTGTATGTAAATATAGTTTTTTGGAAATATTCATTTAGTTTTAAGTCGAGGTCAGGTGAGAAGTGATTGAAACAAACTGGGACAAACTTTCGTCAAGAATTTATCTAAAACGGTTTTTTTATGAAGGGTCGACTTCAGGGTCACCACCTTCCGGCCTTCCCCAGACTTTTCTCCTAAAATCTCACATAAAATCTTAGCAAGTCCAGTTTGGAGGAGGATGCTATATTTCAATTTCCGCAATTTTGCCACGACAAACAAGTTTCGTTTGAAACATTTCATTTTCACATGATAACCTATTTAACGAGCAGAATTAGATGGTCATGAACAACGTGAAAGTTGATATTCCGCTCGATTTAGCGGCCCCTTTTGTTGAAAAGCGCGTTTAGAAACCTGAAACACACACTATCTTAAGGTCAGCAAGTCAGGAAAACACTATCCCTCTCGTTCTACAACTAGCTGCAATATATATGCTCCTTTATAAAATAATATTTCATATATAATAGAGTTGGTTTGCGGTACACTGCATATTTCAACGCGATACTACGCTGAACTCGTACAAGTGCCACACTCCATTCCTGCCCTTACACACAGAGGTGTATAGTGCAGGAGAGAGTGCTTCCTGCACAGCACTCTCCTACACGCCCAACTGTTATGCGCCAGCTCAATAGGCTACCTACACGCCATTCTTCACTTTTATTGCTCCTTTATAAACGTTACAATTTGATTGACAGTAATTCAATAATTCGATACATCATCATGTACAAGCCAACAACGTTAAAAGAGCGCATGCCAGCTTGCTTGTGATAATGCTCATCTCTCCTCATAGTCTGTACTAAGGAGTGGGAAAATGAAATGGGGATATCCTCCCTGGTTTGTAAGATTATAATTTTAGTTTCTAAATTAAATTAATTAATATAAGCGAACTCTGCGCGGCTTCCGCACGTTATATTGGCACTGTATTCGCATTACCAAATGGTGTTGAAATCACTACACACTCAAACATGTGTGTGGTCGGCCGGGAGAGAGAGAATTTAGAGTATATTTAGAAAATGATAGCGCTTTTCTCCCAGAAGTAATAATTATAAGTGGTGTGGGCTGTGTGTATAAAGGAATGTGGAAGAGGGGGTGACGTATGTGACGTAGCGCATACCATGACATCACCTACTTATACAGGTCTTCAGCTTATAATGTCATCGTGTGTGTACTGTATAGCTCTTCATATCATGCTCTACTGGTTACTACACTGGTGACTCTTTCAATTTACAGGTTCATAGGTTCAAAGGAACATTATTCCAGTTTTAAGAGTTTACAATTTTGAGAACATTTAAAATATTATATACAAAGTATCGAGGAAATCTCGATTTCAGGAAACATGTGATTTTATTGAACATTTGGAATAGTAATGGAAATATGTGTAGGTGTAATCCCCATCTCTCTCACTAACAAAGAAGAAAACAAGACACTAACCTGGCGAGGTCAGTGTAGCCACATTGAGCGGCGGCGTGCAGCGGCGTCCAGCCATCGTTATCAGGCGCGTTGATGTTGGGGCTGTTGAGCAACAATATCTCTGCTATCTCCGCGTTTCCGTCAATACACACCTGATAATATGAAGTCAGTTAGTATTTACAACACATGATCCTCACTACAAGAAATATAACTTTTAGATAATCGAGTGATTCATTATATTCCCGTACTTCTTTACCAGAATATCTCCTCGTTTAGTCATGAACATATATTATAATGTGTTAAGTTACAGTTCTTTAGACGAGGATGCAGTTTTAGTTCAAGAGATTTTATGTAACATTACAGCATAGAATTGAACACCATGCCACATACTGAAACTGAAACCCTTCCTCGTATAGTTGTGATGAAAGTATTGTTGACTGAGTTTGATCAGAACGTCTGCTGTTCATTAGATTAAAAACGCCCAATACTAATTCACAGCAAATAGTGAAGATATTGTTTTTTTACTCAATGTCTTAATGACATTAAAAATGCTGAACACTGGAGTCTCACAGGGTTTAACTTCACATTTAGTTTACGCACGCCATGAACCAATATACATAAGTTTATGCTATGTCTCTATTCGGTTCTATTGTGCAGATGTAATTGATAAGTAGAAACCCCCCGCCCCCCCCCCCCCCCCCCCTCCCAGCAAAAAGCTGTGTTCTCAATGATAACTCGATTTAAGCTTGGTCCCGTTTAACTTAACATCAGGATATGACGGTATGTTTTAATCAGTACTGTGTAACTGATAAAGCTAATTTAGTGGTTTTATATTAGATTTATAGTGCGCTCCCTCGTGTATTTCAAGTGTGATAATCTAATTTTCAAACAGTTTTACGTAACTTTCTCGTTGTCCTAGTACAATATTCTACATTATTCCACCACATAAAAACATGTTAAATGGTCATATTAAAATGAAGAGAGGGAAGTAGTTGTATATCATGTACATATGTTGTTATTTGACAATAACAGATCAACAGATGTAAAAACCAGTAACAATTGAAACTATACCATTTGCTAACTATAACAACCTTTTAAACGTCATAATATTATATTTTGCATATTATGCAAAATATTATATACACAATATTCCCACATAATTAAATTATCGTCCTCATTAAGATGCTGTGCTTTAAAGATAACGACTTGTTGACAGAGTTGTCCAGAAAATAGGGCACAGTTAATAATCGTTCTAGGTCCATATCAGCTGCTGATTATGTATTATATTATTATATATATATACACCACCATATAAGATGTAGGAGCACCAGCATTGGGCCACCCATGTGAATAACACCCAATATTGGCCCTGGCAGGAAGTTAAGAACTAAAAGCGAGGTTTTGAAAATATTTGCGAGGCTGCGTGATGCGCTTGTGTTAAAATGAAGATAGAAATTGTTCAATATTAATAAGAATTTATTGAGGATTTGGAAAAGATTCGGGATCTGTGAGGACAAAATACTTATTTTTCTTTTTTAAGGTTAAGAATTAAGTATGACTGTGAAGTTAACAATCTGGGGCAACAGTCAGTAGAATTGATATAATAACTAAGAAAGTTGAACCTTGTCCAATATTTGGTTTCAAGTTGTTCGAGTTTTGGAATTAGGTATAAATGCCAAGTCAGTACCAAGAGCAACAGTGAGTAGAGTAGTAGTATTGATAAAGTAGATGTTAAAGGATAAACCTGCCAAAATTGAAGTTTAAAATATTAAATGTTAACTGCGCAAGCCTTACTACCCATTGGAGTCTAAAATTAAATTAGCACAATTAGTAAAATCCTTATTGATAGAATTCATTCCTTAAAAAGCCCATTTTGTCCTCCTTGCACAGTTCTATAACTGAGTTCTATAACTGTAATCTCCAGTACTTACCCCCTGATCCTTAAATTAGTACAATAAATTCTTGCCAGAATTTTCATTTCAAATTGCTACATTCCAATTATGAAAGCAAATTTCCAGACATTTTTTCGAAGGACTAACTCTACATCACCTTAACGAACCACACTTATTTCGCAAAATCTGTTGGTCAGCCTTAAAATATATACATCTAAAAATCAAATTTTAAAAATCGTTCTTGAAAATGATCTCTAGTGTTAAATTGCTTCTAGGCTTTTTCCTTGAGCAAGATTCTCAAAATAAATTCGCATGCGGTCAGAACAACGAAAATAGCAAAGTTAAGGAAAAAGTTTTGGATGTTAAGATTTATTTGCACCTATGCTTCGGGGTCCACGCCAAGATAGGATTGATGATAGATTTGTACACGATATTATACTGTGTGTGATACAGAAGGACCTCGTGAAGACACGTATTTTATTTCGCACCACAAGAGAAAAGAGACTCCACTAACGGAGGCATTGTAGTATTTTAGTGTAATTCTATTATTAGCACCTCACCACTGTTCAGTCATACGTGTACTGCTGTATCGCCAAGAGGTTAAAGAGTTTAATTCAACACCGTGGCCACCAAGTTTACCTAATTTGAATGAATTAATAAAATAGCCACAAATGTGCGCTAAATCTCCTACCTCCGTGTCACTTATAACTATGACTTAATTAGTTAATTAGATTTCAATTTGAAAGGACAGCATCATGGATATAATATATTAATGACAATTTCGTCTATAAGAATTAGAACTAGAATCTATCCCACCAGAAGGATTTCGCTGTGGGCTGCCTCCCCATTAACAGTGGAATGTAGCTGTGGGCTGCCTCCCCACTAACAGTGGAATGTAGCTGTGGGCTGCCTCCCCACTAACAGTGGAATGTAGCTGTGGGCTGCCTCCCCACTAACAGTGGAATGTAGCTGTGGGCTGCCTCCCCACTAACAGTGGAATGTAGCCGTGGGCTGCCTCCCCACTAACAGTGGAATGTAGCTGTGCATGTGGGCTGCCTCCCCACTAACAGTGGAATGTAGCTGTGGGCTGCCTCCCCACTAACAGTGGAATGTAGCTGTGGGCTGCCTCCCCACTAACAGTGGAATGTAGCTGTGGGCTGCCTCCCCACTAACAGTGGAATGTAGCTGCGGGCTGCCTCCCCACTAACAGTGGAATGTAGCTGTTGGCTGCCTCCACACTAACAGTGGAATGTAGCTGTGGGCTGCCTCCCCACTAACAGTGGAATGTAGCTGTGGGCTGCCTCCCCACTAACAGTGGAATGTAGCTGTGGGCTGCCTCCCCACTAACAGTGGAATGTAGCTGTGGGCTGCCTCCCCACTAACAGTGGAATGTAGCTGTGGGCTGCCTCCCCACCAACAGTAGAATGTAGCTGTGGGCTGCCTCCCCACTAACAGTGGAATGTAGCTGTGGGCTGCCTCCACACTAACAGTGGAATGTAGCTGTGGGCTGCCTCCCCACTAACAGTGGAATGTAGCTGTGGGCTGCCTCCCCACCAACAGTAGAATGTAGCTGTGGGCTGCCTCCCCACTAACAGTGGAATGTAGCTGTGGGCTGCCTCCCCACTAACAGTGGAATGTAGCTGTGGGCTGCCTCCCCACTAACAGTGGAATGTAGCTGTGGGCTGCCTCCCCACTAACAGTGGAATGTAGCTGTGGGCTGCCTCCCCACTAACAGTGGAATGTAGCTGTGGGCTGCCTCCCCACTAACAGTGGAATGTAGCTGTGGGCTGCCTCCCCACTAACAGTGGAATGTAGCTGTGGGCTGCCTCCCCACTAACAGTGGAATGTAGCTGTGGGCTGCCTCCCCACTAACAGTGGAATGTAGCTGTGGGCTGCCTCCCCACCAACAGTGGAATGTAGCTGTGGGCTGCCTCCACACTAACAGTGGAATGTAGCTGTGGGCTGCCTTCCCACTAACAGTGGAATGTAGCTGTGGGCTGCCTCCACACTAACAGTGGAATGTAGCTGTGGGCTGCCTCCCCACCAACAGTGGAATGTAGCTGTGAGCTGCCTCCCCACTAACAGTGGAATGTAGCTGTGGGCTGCCTCCACACTAACAGTGGAATGTAGCTGTGGGCTGCCTCCCCACCAACAGTGGAATGTAGCTGTGAGCTGCCTCCCCACTAACAGTGGAATGTAGCTGTGGGCTGCCTCCACACTAACAGTGGAATGTAGCTGTGGGCTGCCTCCCCACTAACAGTGGAATGTAGCTGTGGGCTGCCTCCCCACTAACAGTGGAATGTAGCTGTGGGCTGCCTCCCCACCAACAGTGGAATGTAGCTGTGGGCTGCCTCCACACTAACAGTGGAATGTAGCTGTGGGCTGCCTTCCCACTAACAGTGGAATGTAGCTGTGGGCTGCCTCCACACTAACAGTGGAATGTAGCTGTGGGCTGCCTCCCCACCAACAGTGGAATGTAGCTGTGGGCTGCCTCCCCACCAACAGTGGAATGTAGCTGTGGGCTGCCTCCACACTAACAGTGGAATGTAGCTGTGGGCTGCCTTCCCACTAACAGTGGAATGTAGCTGTGGGCTGCCTCCACACTAACAGTGGAATGTAGCTGTGGGCTGCCTCCCCACCAACAGTGGAATGTAGCTGTGAGCTGCCTCCCCACTAACAGTGGAATGTAGCTGTGGGCTGCCTCCCCACTAACAGTGGAATGTAGCTGTGGGCTGCCTCCCCACTACTCCACTAACAGTGGAATGTATTACAATATATAGCCGCGTACTTCTACTTTGTAGGATATTTTTCTTATAATTAATGCATGACGCGGAGGTGAGGACGTGACTGGCTGGTAAATGTCACGTGACCCCGCACTTTGTCACGTGACTTCTCACCTCGCCTGCACTCGCTACAACTACACACATGTGACACGACCAGCTAATTAGATTTTATATGAGACAGCAGTGACTGTAAAAATGTAGTCTTCCCAATGCTGTGTGTTAACGCGTGACGTGGCTTCTGGGCGCTCATTGGTCAGACCCAACGACAGTGTGTTGTGTGTACACGCATATTTCAAAGCAGAATACGCATGTAGTGACGTGGTACAATTTGTACTCGAACAGTCTCCCAACTACACTGTCAACTCTCTCTATACGAACAGTCCTTTACCCTTTCCCTTTCCCTCTCACTCTCTCCCTCCCACTCTCTATCTCACTCTCTATCTCAGTGCCATCCCCATCTGTCTCCCGTTCCTCTTCGCTCTATCTCCTCCCTCAATTTTCTTCTCCTTCTCTTCCTCTCGTTACAATTTTTGCATTCCAATATTCGGGACCCTTTAGATTAATATCGAAAATTCCGGATCGGAACCAAATTTGATTCTAATTCTTATTCTCAATACATCGATTTTTCCGCCACATATAAAATGACAATAAAATATCGAAAATATTAGAAACAAACACAGGAAATTTTGTAGGATTAAAAAGTTTAGTTACAACGTTCCCCTAACCAGTAAGTAACACACAATACACGCATAATAAGAGATATTGTATGACATTTTTAGTACTACTTAATAAAACGCAAAGCTCACGCTTACTCAAGCACAATTCGATTATATTTCGCGACGTCTCTGACAGGGAAAAGATTTGAAAATATATCACGAAGCCTTTATTTTCCAAAACAAGGGTAAACACAGCCCTTTGTAGGGTAGTGCAAACCACAAACTTGTGGTAGATTCATGCTACCAAATATGCACATATTTTCGAAGTTGTCATCAAATATAATATTTTAAAACTATCTTCCAAACCTGATGAAGTGCGGAGATGCCATCAGTGTTTGTGTAATTCACATCCACTCCCAGTGCAAGAAGTCTTTGTACCTCGACCGCATCTTGCTGTATCACCGAGTCAAGGAACATAAACTTCCGTTTGAATTGAATGAGGTTCTTCTTGTTTTGAGTTGCTAGGTTCAACTTGTTTGTGTCGCTCCCCTGCCATTCCTGCAGCTGCAATCTTCTTCTAGCTATGTTCTGTAAAATATAATCCTAGGACTTGGTTTTAGAGAACAGTGCTTTTCTAAAGCTTATACAGCCGAGAAAATCTCCGCATGCAGGTTCAATCAAAGTGTGGTTGCTGTAAAATGTTTTAATGAAAAGCAAACAGCTGAAAAAGTGAGATGTAGTTTTTCAATATAGCCACCCAGAACAAAGCCTACTTGAGAATTAAAATTCAAGATGAGATTACAAAAACAGCAAGACGAAAACAAACGACATTCAGATTTTGATTCATGCAAGTTCTGTGGATCTATGTATAAAGTATGACCTCTGCTCTGCTTCAGTATTTATCTTACCTCTGCGTTGGGAGCACCAACTCTGAATCCTTGGCCCTGGTTACTCATACCTCATGACTATGCCCAAGCTAATGTCTCATGAACTTAAGAGGGCAGTCAAGAGATTCTTTTCCCCTTCAACTCATTTTAACCTACATAAAAGGGAAAAAAAGTTGTTTTAAATTCAATCAAGGTTCCAAAACAAAATACTATTAACATTTTTGGTGCAATTTAAAGTGACCCACCCTGCTTAGCACTACCCAATGAAATAACTTTTTGAGGATTTTTTCCAACGTGTCGAGGAATGTAAACGTTGTTGGCGTTTAGCAATTTTTTTAAATAGTAAAATCGAAGATGTGATAAAGAAAATTAGTGATTAGAATCAATATGACGGCTGAAATAAAATTCATATGACCATCAAATGACTATACTAGAGCAAAATATAAAATGAATTCCACAGCACGTCACATTTGACAAATTCTTCTAAGATTACACCTGAGGCTTCATGATGTGAAAGCGTGTTAATCATGGAGATTTTTTTGTAGAAAATGTCAGCTAAGCGCATTGAATTTACCCATATAATATGGTGATAGTCATATGATGATAGTCATATGATGATAGTCATATGATGATAGTCATATGATGATAGTCACATGATGATAGTCATATGATGATAGTCATATGATGATAGTCATATGATGATAGTCATATGATGATAGTCATATGATGATAGTCATATGATGATAGTCATATGATGATAGTCATATGATGATAGTCATTATATGATGATAGTCATTATATGATGATAGTCATATGATGATAGTCATATGATGATAGTCATATGATGATAGTCATATGATGATAGTCACATGATGATAGTCATATGATGATAGTCATTTCACGAGATTGTGCTAAACAGTACCAGAGTGCACTATATTATGAATAAGTAGATTCAAGGTTCTTGCAGGCTCTTTTGTAAGGTGCCATCATTTCAAAAACTTAACTAAAGTATGTATATTGTATATTTAAAGTCACTATTGTGACGGTACATTAGAACTAGACAGAACAAAGTGTGAAGGGCCTGAACGGAACCCCTCGGTTTCAGATCCTTGTTTAACACTGCCGTACAGCAAGGACATCCACCGGGTTCTCCAAGGATGGGCACATAGCTCACTCCACACTATGCTTTGTCAAATGTTGCTTATATACCAAGGATCTACAGGAAATATTTCCTTGTAAGTTTAGAGGGCGATCTGTGAACAGACAACTACCTCATTCCCAACTATAGGAACTAGAATTCCTATACTATCCCAACAAGCTACACCAAGCATTGTTTCAGATGAGAACAGCCGCGATAAATCAGCAGGCTAGTACTCTTGATTATATAATATATATTTAAAGTCACTATTGTGACGGTACATTAGAACTAGACAGAAACAAAGTCGTTCACCTTCCAATAACTGTCAATAGAATAATACTGACAATTCATCAAGATATTAGCAAATGAATATTTTTATCAATATGGACCTTGTTTTTTACGATTTTTTTAGGTTCAAGATTTTCAAAATCAAATTTAAATTTTTTTAAAGCCTATCTCAAAATTCGGTCCTCTTAATGTCTCCTAAATAATCCCTAGAACATATTTCGGGATAAATGCTCAAAAACTGTAGATGGAGGTAGATTTTTAGAATCAATTTTCAGGGTGCAGTTGAAATCTGCTCACTAATAACTTGGGCTATAACTAGGAACAATATGTTTCCATGGCACCAAAAGCAGCTGATAGATCACTTCCATCTATCAGAAACAACTGTAAAATCTTAAGAATAGTAATAGTAGTAAAAGCAATGACAGTTTCTTATTACCTTTGACCATTGCATGCTCCATAACCAGAATTCGAATATGTGTGCTCATTGGTAGAATAATAATAAATTGAAGTTTAATAACACCACTCTTAAGTTAAAACTTATACTTAGCAGTGTTTAATCCCAGAACATCCCAGATATTTACTTGAATAATTATAGGTAAGGACTGGAAACTGTAGATCATATTCATACTGCAACTGGAAGTCACCCTATTTCTCAATTATAATGGTGTTGAACGTTGTTTTAGCGATACCTTACTATACATAAAGTGAGATGATATATATGAATATATGAATATATGTTGCCATTTTACTGACACCACGTCATCAACTTTAACAAAACGTTCCACAAAAACCGTGAGAGATACACCATTGGAACCTTTTTGACTATCTTATGAGACATATTTATGTTCGATGTATAATTCCGGTGACCTAAATGATTTGGGAACGAAAATATGGGAATTTTTCTGCCACATTTCGTACCCGTATTAAATCATGGTATTTGGGGATTTTTTCATCTCCTTATTTTACAAAAATGAAACCCAATATTTAAGAAAATTGAATACAAAGATCTTCTCTGATCAGCTGTTTCATCTTGTAAACAATTTCTCCAGAGCCTTGAAAGTTAGCCTCTACTTAACTTATAGTTAATCAGTTAAACAAAAATTTCAGTTAAATAAAAATTTCAATTTTTTGCCATTTATTACAGAGTAAACAAGTTTACAATAAATCAATTTGATATTTAATAGTTAATAGTACTATGTTTACAGTATGTACGGAAGGGGTATCCTAGGAAGTTTCTTGGACTTCTAACAGGTACCCCTCCTCATAATTTAACCCTCAATCAAGTTTCCTATCATTCCGAGCTAAGTCGACTGAGGAGATCGCATAGATCCAATTATGGATCCTTAGCTATTCCCTAGACTAGGTGACACTGGAATTCGAACCCTGGACTTCTGCGCAGAAGGTGGATGCTCTAACCACTAGGCCACCTACCTCCTGAGGGTATAGGAGACCGACGTCTGACAGTGTTTATCAAATTTCACTGCCGTGGCCAATAAAGTAGTGATAGAGCTTGCTTATTTTTAATGGAATGTGTCCAAAATCATTTCTAAAGCAATTCATGATTGAATACTAGTGTCCATTAATTGTTTGATAAATTATATTTATAACTCACTATATTGATAAGTTGATAGTAAATCGATTAAGTCATGATTAATAAAAAATATGTGAAAAATAATTTGGGGAAAATAATGATGATGACCTAAATTTTGGTAGTCCAAAAATATGTCTTGTAAGGTAGGTCAAATGCTTTTATTGCCTTTTGACCAGTATGAAGTACTTAAAAATTGGCCAAGGAATACTTTAGGTCCTAAATTTTGGACCAACAAGTGGCGTCAAAATCACTAAATAAATAAATAAATATTGCTGTGTTTTGACACCACTTTGGAGTAAGATTGGTTCTTGATAGTGATAATAACTGGCGTTGATTCAATGAGAGGCAACGTTTATTCTCAACCCTAAAATCTGAACTGAGTCCTAACGCTCTATGGGGGATTGACTGTGACTCCATAATAGTGATTTACCTTATGACACCTAAACCTTGTGTCTTGGTGTCCACTGAAACAGTGTTTAGAACTGAACTGTGGTGTCTAGCTTCTGCTAGATTGGACTCCTTTGATATTATTTATATATGTATGACTTAAGTAATGAACCAACTCTGCAACCTGGTAGCGTGGCTGACATGAAATCAAAATAAATTTGGTCCTGGCTTCTGCATAATCCTAAATCACCTGAGCTCCAAAAAAGCAGAGCCAGTATCCAAGTGGCCGACCCTATAATATATCCAGACAGCTTGTGACATGATGGATAGCAGATCACATGATTGAAATTTGTGTGCAATGATGTGAACCAACCCTGCTTTTGATGATGTGAACAGCGGCCAGGTAGCGCAGTTGGTTAGAACGCCTGTCATACAATCGTTAGGTTGCGAGTTCGAAACCCACTGACTGCCTGGTCGTGGGGTGAGCGTCGTCGACGTTCAGCTAAGGATCATGAGTGGTCTATGCAGCCCCCCGGTCTACTCAGCCGAATACTCGAGAAATCGGGTGTGAGGGTTAAATGAGGAGCTGCACATTGCAGCAAAGTCTCGGACGAAGAAAGTATGGTACACACTACCTTAACCGTCACTGGCCAAAAAGATCCTTCGGCTTCCTGTAATTGGCTGGTTGCACTTGTGTAACATTGTGGCTGTTGGAATACACCGAAGTAAAATAAGTGTCTAGATAAAAAAAATGCCATCATACGATCTACTAACCGTCATGTCATATGTTGTCCGTGGAGAAGCTGCCCAAGCTGCAGACACCTGTCTGCGGACAGGGTTGTGATACTTGGATAATGACAAAGCAGACTGGAGACACGAGACCCCACAATAATATGCAACAAAAATGTGCAACCTGGACCTAAGCTGAAGTTTAACAACGTTATTTATAAAACCACTTAGACTGAGTGAACTTTGAGTCTATGGACATAGATCCAATTAATTCTAATCAACGGATTCTATCATTCATTATTTATGCCTCAGTTAAGATAAGATAAGATAAGATTTAAAATTATGCATCTCGTACAAATATAATTACTTCAAAACTGTACAATTTACGTTTAATAAACTATTAAAATATAAAAATGTGCAACCTGGACCTGTGTTGATAGCCACCAAGACCAAGGAGGACTACAGCCAGGTGGTGTGTAACATCAGGACACGCCTGAGCATGGATATAATGAGGAGTGTGCTAGTAGCAGTTCGAGGTGTACGTGGAAAGGCAAAGAAGGCATGGACTGCCCCTATATCCAATGTCTCCTTCAACCTGATACCTGAGGAGAAGAGCTACGAGGGATAGATGATATCTATTGCTCAGGATTTACGATTGTGCTCTGCAAATTGCATCACTTGATTTAATTTATTGTATATATACTGTTTGACATTTCTGATACTTTTTTTGCAACCTGGACCTAAGCTGAAGTTTAACAACGTTATTTATAAAACCACTTAGACTGAGTGAACTTTGAGTCTATGGACATAGATCCAATTAATTCTAATCAACGGATTCTATCATTCATTATTTATGCCTCAGCTAAGATAAGATAAGATAAGATTTAAAATTATGCCTCTCTGGGCATCTCGTACAAATATAATTACTTCAAAACTGTACAATTTACGTTTAATAAACTATTAAAATATAAAAATTAAAAGAAGTTAACTGAAAACTTCTTGGCTGATAAGTGCCTAAATAAGGCCTT